GGTGTGGCGGTGTTGAGGTGCCCTAGGTGGCCCCCAGGTGTCCTAGTCCTGCTGCCCATCTGACATACGAAGGCCACTGCTATGGCTGTGAACTGGGAGGAGCAGGCCCCACGGCATAGCTGGCTGTGACAGTGCACGGCCACAATCCCAGCTGCTTGGAGACTGAGGCAGGAGGATCCTGAGTTTGAGTGCAGCCAGGCACCTTAGTAAGACCCTTTCTCTAAACAAAATTGGAAGGGTGGGGATACAACTCATTGGCAGAGGGCTTGCCTGCATGACTTCAAACCCAGCACAGACAATATTAAAAAATTTGCATTTTACGTTAGGACATGGACACGAACACACACACACACACACACACACAGAGTGAGGCTCAAGTCACCAAGGCTGTGCAAGTGCCCAGAGAATCACAAGTTCAAGCCCAGCAGGGGAAGTTTAGCAAGAACCTGGGGCAAAAGTTTTTTAAAAGCCTGGGGAGGTTGGGACCTAGTTCAGTATTAAGGCTTTGGGTTCAATCCCAGTATTGCCAACAAAACAAAGCACCAACAAACAAAATCACTGTTTTAATTTTAATTTAATTTATGAACTTCGCCCCTCAAAAAAAAAGAAAACACTTTCATTTAGGACAATAAAAGGTTTTTTTTTTATTTTGCTGAGACAGTCTCCCAAGGTAGAATTGTAGGCAGCTAAATCAGATCAAAATATTACAGGCAGTCAGACAGCGCTGGGCCCTCAGAGAGACAACTCGGAAGAGGAGCTGCCGGGTAACTGAGCTGTACACCTCCCTGAGGGCCAGACCTTGGGACAAAAGACTTAAACGAATGCAGCTGCCCATCTCCCTAGGGAGGGACATCCGTGATTGATATTCTAATACGCGTCAATCACCTTGAATATGCCAGTCACTAACTCAACCCCCTACAGGAAGAGCCCCTGTTCTGTGTTCATGACCACTTGCCACATGACTCTTTCCTATTTGATCCTGATTTTATCAGTTTCACCTGAGCAATTGTGGGTGGGCTTTTTTTTTTTTTTTTTTTT